CTTAAGCAAATTAAGACTTTAAGCACTCAAACTTGAAGTTCAGAATGTCTTCTTTCTAGCCATATATCATTTGGGCCAATCCAAGGTCGGAGGAGGAAGTTAAGGCCAAAACAAATTGCTAACTCATTTTCCGCGCTGATAAGATCCATCCTGAGCATGGTTCTGTGTTTGCTAGGTAACGGACTCCAGATTTATCCAATGGGGCTGAATTTTGGATATGTTATTGGACACACCCATTGGAACAACTTTCATGAAGAATGCGGCCTCATCCAAGTTGTGTAGGTTGCTGAAACAAAGCTTGCAATATGACCTACAGAACTGGACTGGCAGGGGGCTGTAGCCAAAATGAGTTTGTCTTTAAGCACTTCTTCCCTTTATCCAAATCAGGCTTTAACATGCATGGATTGCATCATTTCCTATCCAAAGCCATCATTGTTACCTAAAGCTGAAAGATAAACACAAAAAGGATTAAATGCACAAGTTTAACTCAAAAACATAACCAAATCATAAGCTAGAAGGGTACAAAATGATATACAATTATGAACCGATCAATAATCAAGAGCAACATGTTTCATGCGGGCATGGAAAACAGGATTGGCAGCCATGTATGTCTCAGAGAGATTGTCACAATTGAGGAGAACTGGCTGGCGGAGCGGGAATTGTAGTTCTTGAAGGAGACACTGTATCCAAATGGTGTTAGCACATGCATAGGTGAGGGCACGGTGTTCTGCCTCGGCACTAGAGCGTGAGACCGTACGTTGTTTCTTAGCACTCCATGAAATTAAATTTGACCATAAGAACATGTAATAGCTAGTTGTCGAGCGACGTGTATCGGGGCAACCTGCCCAGTCAGCATCCGAATAGGCAACAAGAATGGTGGAATTGGGGGACCGATGGAAAGGTAAACCATGACCAAGAGTGCCCTTGAGGTATCGAAGAATGCGTTTGACAGCTTCCATGTGAAGATCAGTGGGAGAGCCCATAAATTGAGACACAAATTGAACCGCATAGGCAATGTCGGGACGAGTGAGAGTTAAGTACTGCAGAGCACCAACCAGCTACCTATAAATGGAGGGGTTAGAGAGAGGATGACATGTGGTACGGGATAGGGAGCCTTTGGAGGCCATGGGGTGGAGCACGGCTTGCACTCCCACAGGTTGCTGCGTTGGAGTAAATCAATGGTATATTTTTTTGTGTGAGATGAACACTACCATACAAATAAGTCACCTCCATACCCAGGAAATAATTGAGTTGCCCAAGATCTTTGAAATCAAATTTAGCACCCAAGATGCGGATGAAATCCAGAAGGGAAGAAGTACTACTGCCGGTGAGAACAATGTCGTTGACATAAAGAAGTAAGACCATCATGTGAGAGTTGTTCCGAAAAATGAACATTGAGGAGTCGGCACGGCTTTGTAGAAGCCCATAACGAAGTAGGAATTGTTGGCGTTCGCAAATCTCATGGCCTGGTGCTCCGGGCCGAGGGGATATGCGTCGACACGTGACGTCCTTCTTTCGGATGCGGTGCGGTTGTGCGCGGGCGTGCCAGCACGATCTACCGTGCGTTGAGAGAGTGATGTGTTTGGGTAAATGGTTAAGTGGTGCGCCTGTTTGAGTTTGACTTCTAATCAAACGATTGTGGCCGAGAGAGGAACTGATCTCGG